GGCAAAAACGTTTGCATTTTTTATAAAAACAGCTGGAATATAGATTTTAGTGTTATTAATTCAAATATAACCAGTTTTAAGTGGCAGTATTTTGTAACTAGGAGTTTCTATAAAGCTTAAAAAATAACTTACTTTTGTTAGAATTTATTTTTGTGTTCTTTATATTCAAATATTTAACGTTTGGCGCTCTATATTTAATGTATTCTATTGGAACAGTTTAACTGATATTCCAAAAACCCGTGGATGGCATATACAATAGGCTGAAAACGTTAGTGTATAAGCAAGTAAATGTTTCTCAGCAGATAAAGGTGTTTAGCGATGAATTTTAAAGTAAAAGAATATTCATAATATATAACGAGTTCAATAAACAATTTACCATATCGGGCATTCTAGCGTCTTCCGAATAGATGAAGAAAATCTTTTTATTTCTTCCACAGCCATTTAATGTAACTTACTAATATTCGAGGTTAATCGAATAAAACTGTCGACTTATCGATTTGTTTACTGTCACATTTTCCGAATAGCATTCGCACATTCGCGGGTTTTCGTCGTATGACGTCATTTAACACACTCGTTTCGTAACTAGCTTATGATTGGATAAATTTTTAAAATAAACATCCAATCGCTATTTTAATAAATAAATTAGTAATATTAATATTTTCTTCACAAATCTTATTTAAAAAGATTATTAATTTTTACATTATAATCTACAAGATAAAATACTGTATACGTATGGCTCTTCCTCCAGAATCTGTTCTCACTCATTGGGGAACTTGGCTGAAGGCTGTTAACTACTACAGTGAACATTTCTCTGATATCAAGAACTTCTGGTCACTTTANTCTAGCGTCTTCCGAATAGATGAAGAAAATCTTTTTATTTCTTCCACAGCCATTTAATGTAACTTACTAATATTCGAGGTTAATCGAATAAAACTGTCGACTTATCGATTTGTTTACTGTCACATTTTCCGAATAGCATTCGCACATTCGCGGGTTTTCGTCGTATGACGTCATTTAACACACTCGTTTCGTAACTAGCTTATGATTGGATAAATTTTTAAAATAAACATCCAATCGCTATTTTAATAAATAAATTAGTAATATTAATATTTTCTTCACAAATCTTATTTAAAAAGATTATTAATTTTTACATTATAATCTACAAGATAAAATACTGTATACGTAGTATTCTTATCCACTGATCCCAGAGCGGTAGGATGCTACTGACCGCTCGGCCATCCGGCCGTCTAATTAGATTCGACTGGCAAATGTTGTGTAAATGGAAAGTCAGAGAGATGAGAGATTTTTTTACATTTTAGGAGCCACTACGCTCTGGAGGACTCAGGATCGAGTTCGGGTGAGCAATCCTAAGAATATTTCTTGAGTGATCCGTCCAGAATGTGTCGGCCACGTCCCTCGCCATTCAATCTGCTCCTGTTGTAGGCCTGGCCGAATCTGTGATTGGTATGATTAAAAAGTCCCTCTTAGTGCTTACAGAGCAGAAAGAGACGGCCCTACCATAGGGCGAAAAGAGCAGCCGCTGCGTCCTAGGGGGCGCCTCAGTGGTAAAGAAAATTAAAGGGTATAAATTTGGGGGCAACCAAGGGCAGTGGCTTAGTGAGGGGGTGCACCAAGCACCGAGCGCCACCCAAATGGTCTCCAAGACAAACTATATGTGTTTCTGGAGGGGCGCCAATAAAGTGTTGTGCCCCGAGCGCCAGTTATGTTCGCTACGCTACTGACCAAGGGGGCGCCATAATAGGATCTCGCTCCATCCTAAAACTTGTCTCGGGCCGGCACTGTTTTTGATCATACCATCACAGATTCGGCCAGGACTACAACAGGAGCAGATGAATGGCGAGGGACGTGGCCAACACATTCTGGACGGATCACTCAAGAAAAATTCTTAAAATTGTTCACCAGGACTCGATCCCGAGTCCTTCATAACTATTTCAACATCGTTGACATGGCACCTATTTAGGTGTTAGACATGTGAAGAAAATCCGGAAAATTTCCTGTAGCCAGCACGTTGATGAAGCGCGAACCCGCGACCAACTATCGGTGATAAGTGGTTTTATCCGCTCGGTCACTAGTGGGCCTTTTATTCAGAAACGAATGGAAATTAATAGGTTATAATGAATATAAAACAATAACTTGATTTTATTTTCAAGCTTGTTTATAAACTGTTGTATATGTATAAACCATTAAATAAATATACAGTAGTAAGCTTTTGGTAAATCAAAGTTAATGGGCGTGTTGCCTGGTAAAGGGACACCGTCAACTGGGCAACAGCGAGTGTGGGTAGATATCATTTATCTTTTGAGACTTTTCTATTTACTTGTAAAAATAAATAAATAATGTAATTTGTATAAATATCATATTCTATTTACATAAATACAGTAGAGCGTCGTTTATCCGAAAGTCGGTTATCCGAAAAAATTACAGTCGGCAAATTTAAATTTTTGCTAGTGCTGTGGCGCTGCAATCTTTGGCTATATCTTGGGCTACTCCAATATTTTTTTTGTTAATGTGTGTTTTTTAGCTGGCAGCACGCAATTTTCTGTGGTGTTTTTCTCAGGATTGTGTGTCATGCTAAATCGAACGTTTTTGATACCAGATTAACTTCTAAAGTATAATTTTTTTTTGTTTTTATATTTTTCAATAAATTTATTTTGTTTGTAAAAAATAAAGAAATAATTTTTAACGATACAATAGCCACGATTATTATTTTAAAAAGTTTACATTAGGCTTAACATCGACGAAACTTCAACGCGAAGCGACATGCAACAGAGAAAAATTTCAACATGGGATAGGTTAATGTATTTTTTCGTACATAATCAGTTATCCGAAAAATAAGTTATCCGAACAATCCCAGTCCCCAATTGATTCGGATAAACGACGCTCTATTGTAATTACAAAATCGTTCTCTTAACTCGTTTCTTAAAAAATATTATTTAAATTTACCGGATAGTAGATCAACAGAAAAGAATTGCAATTTTTATAAAGAAAACAAAAAGTTTTGTATTGTCTTGTTTTGTTTTTTTTGTGTTGGGCGAGAGCTATTAGGCTATGGTGCCCCGTGGTAAGTTGTGACGTGCAATGTGACGTAGTTAGTAATTACAGTATATATTTTTATACGCGGGGAATTTAATATGCCTTCCGAGAGGTGTTTTAAGGGTAACTGGCCTCTATTCAGGCGTTACAGACGTGGAGAAAACCCAGAAACTCCACGGGGCCAGCCCGTGCTGGAGAAGCATTTATAATTTGTAATTATTAACAGAAAACACAAGTATTGTACTGTTTAAACTTTGTCTATCATTATATTTTAAATCACACTCACTTCATTTCATTTTATTTAACGTACTGTATAACTATTTCAACAAAGTTGACAGTGTAAGATTGCCGATAGGGGTAGAAATATGTCAAGATGTCGAGGGGTCGCGAGGAGTCGTATGTGGGCGATCGTCACTGAGACAGACTCTACGGTTACAAGAAACCCTTCAACACAAAAGATGCTTACAAGATTTTCGCGATCTTGGAGTTCGGATCCTATGATATCAATTGACATTTCACCCACATCAGTTCTAAGTCGGCGGCGACCTCGGGGTCTTCCTCTCCTTTTCAAGATAGTCGCAAATGAAGGAGTGTCCTTGGTTCGTGAATGAGTCTCGATGATTCCGGGACGATGCGGTCGACTTCCGGTGTTGGGAAGATGTCGGGAGACGGAGACGAAGATGGGCACAAGACACACACACAGCAATTGGTCCGACACTGGGAAATTTCGGGGGAAGAATCCAGTGGCGTACCGTGGGTGTCAGCCGCCCGGGGCGGAGGGAAATTTCGCCCCTCCCTTATTTAGGTATTTCAATTTAAAAGACCAAAATTCAGTTTTGTCACAGAACAAGCAATGAAAAATTCGGTGGTAGTGCAGCGACCTGTTTAAAATAGTTCTATTGGATATTAGTGGTATATATGAACGCGAATGAATCGTACAAGCAAGAAGAAAAAAAAAGGTCAACAGGTTTCGCAGGAACTCCTCGGATGAAAAAGTTACTAGTTCACCCGGCGGCCCCGTCCCTCACCACCCGGCAGCCCCATTGTGGGCCTGGCCGAACCCATAATGGGCTTGCAATAAAAGGCCCTCTTAGTGCCCACAGGGTGGAAAGAGTTAAAAAAAAAAAGTTCACCCGGCGAGCCGATTGCCGGACTGTCCGGACGATAGCACTATCGTAGGCGCAATGCAAGTATAGATTAGGATGTTTCAAATTTTTACAAGATATTATTATTATTTATTGTGAAATTTTGCCGCGCCCTAAAAAGTGCTGCCCGGGGCGGGCCGCCCCTGCCGCCCCCACTACGGTACGCCACTAGAATCCGTCGCGTCCTTGAATTCCCGGGGTTTATTAATTTCCGTCCTCGATTGTTCATTCTAATCGGTGGCTTTTCCTCGTTCTCGCTTTCTAAATCAGTGTTTTTTAACAGGAGGGCCGCAGCCCCTGGGGGTTCATAAGAAGTTTGCCGGGGGTCGCCAAATTATGCTAAATTTATGCATATTTGGTGGATACAAAAACAAAAAAACGCAATCGATTGCGATTAGATGCCTGCATACGGATAGCATTACAAACAATCGAACCAAGAATTAGCAAATTAGTTGAGGATATTCAGCAGCAAAAATCTCATTAAATTATTTTCGAATATTTTTTGTTTTTTCTATAAATTTTTAAATGTTTCTTATTTTATTTTCTGTTAAAAATCAATGAGTTTTTATGTTTAATTGTGAAGTCTGAATGTTATTTAAATAGATAATGAAATAATAAAGTTATGTTTTACATTTATTATATAAAAAAAATTAAGCAATAATTAAAAAAATCAATTTATTATAGATAATGTAATTTAACAAATATAAATTCTTATTAAAAAATGGGAGTCACAAAAAAATTATGAAATATTTGGTGGGCTGCGAGTATAAAAAGGTTAATGCATACGTCTGGAATTTACGATACTATATTATTGATCTATGGCAGATTTTCATAAATAATAACTATTGTTTTACTCTACTATTGTTGCTAAGGCGACATTGACAATATCCGTCAGTTGTTTGTTTATATATTCGTAAAATGCATCACATACCCGTTATCTACGTCAAACCAGATGAGATTATTAAAGATTCTCCAAACAAGGAAAGTATTTATCGAATTATAAAATCGGCGCCTCCTATTGAAAAGAAAGAAAAAAGGTAAATAATACTGTAGCAACATAGAAATTTCTCATTTATGTGCATCTGTACACATAATATTCTTTAGAAATAACTTAAATTTATACACTATAGATATGTTTCAAAATACAAAGATATAGTGAAAAGAGAGTATTTCAATAAGATCGGTTTAAATCATACCATGGGATACGAGAAAGTACCTTTGCCGTCACCACAGAATTTTTTAAAAAAGCATAGTAAAGAACCGGTGTTACCTCCAAGTATGAAAACATAGAATTTGTTTTATTATTAAGACTGCCTATTGTAATAATTAAATCTGAATCGTTGCAGGAAAACTATTCAAGTATCCAGAAAGTCGTAGAAAACCTATGATATCAATTGGCATTTCACCCACATCAGATTTACCAGTTAAAAATTTTTTAGTAGAAAATGTACGAAACGCTATTCAAATGACACCACCAAAATTAATTCCTAGACAAGTAGATAATAGATTCGGAGATTGCATGGAATTGGAATCATCTGGATTGTTACCTAAATATTTTAGAAAAAAAGTAAGTGTAAAAAGACTATAAACCATTAATAAATACCTTTATTTGATTTTATAAGAGGTTTTTTTTTTTAAATTCTTTTTGCCCTATTGGCACTAAAAGGGCTTTTGTTTAGTAAGCCCAAACCTGACCGAACCCATTTTATGGATCCGGCCAGGTTCACAATGGGGCGGTCAGGTGGTGGAGGATGTGGCCCGACATATCCGGACAAACCACTCATCGAAAATTTCTGGGGTTTTTCGATCTGTCCAGATTCGATCCTGGATTCCAAGAGTGATACGGCTGCACCTTAACTCCTCGCTCATCTGAACGTCTAAATAGCAGGATAGTGTGGTGAGGTTAAGTCGCCGTTTTACTGTTCTGGGGACCCGGAATCGATTCCATGCGAGCAGTTCCAGGCGTTTTTATGAGCGGTCTGTCCCGAATATATCGAGCTTTTCCTTCACCACCACACTACTTCTATTGTTGGCCTGGCCAAACCTACAATAGGAAAAAGGCCTCCTTACTGTCCACTGACAAAGGAAAGTTTTCTCATGTTAGTCTTATATTTTAATTAATAAAGTGTATATCATTCGATAAAGGAAAAAAAATCCAGCAACGAATTACAGTAGACCCCCCCTATAACGCTTAGATACGTTCCACGTTATTCGAATTTTACGTTGTAGGAATCATTAAATACATGAGCCAATCGCAGCCCAACACGTGTGAAGTTTACGGACTAAGGCTGTTTGAAAGGTTTTCTTCTATAAAATTAACCGATTCTAGACTAATTCCACTCAACATTTCCAAAACACGTATAATTTTTTGGGAATAATCCGTATAAACTATGCTATAAACAA